GCCTTCGTACCGTTTCCCTTTCCCATACAGTTAGATACCTCCTGCTCCCGATGCCTTGTTTATTTCATAGTATGAAAACCTCCCACTGTAAGCACACGGGCTCTTGGAAGAATTAGACTCTATCGGGCCCTTGACTACCAGTTAATAAAGGCTTTACTAACTGTAAAAAAAACAACAAAGAAAACCATTATGGTACATAACAGATTATAGTCCAACTCTCTTGCTTTGGACATGCCATCTGATCAATCGTGGGAGGAGAATGTCACATTCGATGAAGCCCAGGGCCAGTGAGAGCGAGATGCCTTTGCACGTTCTACTCTGTGGATCATAGATTGCCATGAGTTGAATCTACTGAACAGCATCCGTCTGTATCTGTCTGTCTATCTATTATCTGTCTCTCTCTCTCTATCTCTCTATCTATCTAAGGTTATGCTAGTTAAGATGTGCTTCTTAACCTTCTGAGCTTCAACTTGCAGTCTTTACAAGGGGAAGGAACACATAGACGGTAGTCCCTCAGAGGTAATGATAAATAAGCACATCATTAGATCCTTGGTTATAATTGCTTAATTTGGACAAAAAATATACTATAGGGATTATTATTGCTGGTCCATCCTGTAAATACTATCCACCTCATCCTGTGTGCTCACATCCACACTAGTTCCACACTACTTCCCCTTCCATAGGCCAGAGGATAACCTCAACATCACAGCCATAGGGCCCATTCTGACTCACAGCAACCCTTCAGGGCAGGGTAGAACTGCCCCTGTGGGTTTCTGAGACTATAAACCCTTATGGAAACAGAGCCCTTTCTTTCTCCCTCAGAGCAGGGCTAGTGGTTTCGAACCTGTGGTTAACCGCCCACCCAGCACATAACCACTCCGCGGCCCCTCCACGACCTCGGACAGTCCAACAATTCTAAATCCAGAGTTGGCAAAACACAGTCCGCAGACCAAATCCACCTCTTGCTTTTTATAAGGTTTTATTGAAACAGAGCCAGACTTATTAGTTTATATGTCGTCTATGTGGATTTTTGCATTACAAAAACAGAGTTGAGGCAGTGGTGGGATTCAACACCGATACCTAATTTCTTTGTTGAATTTGGCAAACCA